GGCAGAAGGCTTAACAGCTCCAGATTCAAAATAAGACAGGACTGGGGAGATGGGTTGGTGTTAAGAGAACTGGCTGTTCTTGCAGAGGACCTGAGTTTGAGTCCCAGCACCCACATGGCAGCTAACAATCATCTGTAACTCCAGTTCAGGGGACCCAACACCCTCTTCTGGCTTCTGAGGGGCACTGCATGCACATGGTGCCCTTACATACATGCAGGCAAAACACTCATACACATAAAATAAAAGTAATAAATAAGGGGGCTGAAGAGATGACTCAGCAGTTAACACTTGGGCTGCTCTTTCAGGGGACCCAGGTTCAATTCCCAGCACCGACATGGTGGGTAGCTTAAAACCATCCATAACTCCAGTTCCAGGAGATCCAACACCCTCTTCTTCTGACCTCCATGGGCACTGCACAACACAGGTGCACTTACATACATGCAGACAATATACTCATACACATAAAATAAAAATAACAAATTTAAAAAAATTTTAAGAATATATAAAATATTTAAAAATTATATGTGACTAGTACTAGTAATTTAATGACCTTATAAAGTATACTAAAAACCACTGGTTATACATTTCTTATTACAAGAGCATAAGAAATCTAATGGTGTTTTAGTAACAAAATTAGTAATTGTACCTGTGACCTGGCTTTTGAACAAGGCTTGTCAACTGAGGGTGAAGCTTTAATGCTGACTCCCAAGACCAACTTTCCTGAGAACTATTGCCTTGAAGTATCTGAAAAATAGGCACCATCAAGGAGTCTTGCTCTGCTGTTCTACTTCCATTGGCTGATGCCGAAATAACTTCGGGCTGAAGACTGTATATGCCATTTAAATTGTCAGCTACCATTCTAAGTAAAGAAAAACAGGCTAAAAGTTTCTCTGAAAATAACTGATTCTTTTGTTGCTGAGTCAGCAAAAGCTTTACGGTATTTGAGGTGAGCTTTATCAAGTGTCCCACATCTTGTCTGTATCTCATATCCCAATAGTGGATTGATAGACATTGATAAAAAAGTTGAAAGATACAAAGTACCCAGGCATTATGCTTCAGACTCTTGCTTAAAAAAAGGTCAAATTTGGGGAAAGGACACTTTATAAACTGAAGAATATAGAAAAAATGAGTGATACAAACTACTGTGTAATTTAACATTAATTTCTTTTCTGTTACATTTTTTGAAATTCCTATACTCCATGCTGCAAGCAGTCTTTTCTGGATAGAATGCAGGTCTGTGGTGGTTCTGTCTGTCTCCTTGGAATCATCCTTTGCATGTAACATATCAAACATAGATGCAAATTCCAGTCTTCCTTCCTTGACCACGCTAAACAGTGGATCATTTTTTTGGTTACAAAAAGGGAATGAGTTGTTTGGAAACTGTTCACATTCCTTAGTTTCTTCTCCGTCAAAATCCTAAACACAAGGGGAAAAATGGCACTAAGTACTACTGAAGGCTTATGCACAGAATCACTGTACTATTTCCAATCTATTCTTAACAAAACAAAATGTATTTTTTAGAATAAAGTCAATATGTATTAATAGTACCTGAAAATCTGTTTTTTCATTTAATTTCATTGTTTCTTCTGCCTGCAAAAATCTGGGGACAGTGCAATGCACTGAACTTTCATTTCCTTGATGCTTTAACAGGCTGGACCTTAAGGAATCCAGTGATCGCAAGTTCAGCCCTTTGTCTTTTGGCTACAGAGAAAAAGACAAAAGATGTCTAAGACCAAAATTTTATCTGTAATTCTATAACAAGCAGTTAAAAATTCTGTCAACTGTATATAGCTAAAAGACATTACTGCAATAGTTTTAACTCTGAAGGGACAAGGAGGCAAGTTTTAGAAAAGGCACTTTACCTTAGACAACACTACACTTTGGTATGCTTTCTCAAGCCTGTGAGTCGAATCAAGTAGCAGGGTTCTCATGAGCACTGTTGGAGACTGGCTCTCAAGAAATCGAAGAGTTGTGACCATGTAACCATCAGAAACAATAAGGTAAGGCAGCCTTGAGTGTGCTTTCACAGAAAACCTCTGTCTCAGAGGATCACTGTCAGAAGCTGATGAATCTACAGAATTGTTTGAATCTTGAAATATAAACTGCTGTGGTCTAAACAAACATTAAAATTCAAGAATCAGTAAGAGAAAAAAACTTTTTTTTTTTTTTTTTTGGTCTTTTTGAGACAGGGTCTCCCTATAGCCCCAGTAGGCCTGGAACTCACTATGTAGACCAGGATGGCCTCAAACTCACAAGAGATTTGCCTGCCTCTGCCTCCCTGAGTGCTGGGATTAAAGGTGTGTGCCATCACACCTGGCAGAAGAACAAAGAAAAGGCCAAATAAGCATCAAGAATGATGAGAAAGCATGCAGATACAAAAATATTAAATGGATATTTACCTTCCAGGAAATACAACACAGTGATCAAGACATATGTATTTACATGTTTCCAAACTTTTTCCTGAATTGTGGCATTTATTATGTTTTTTTTTTAATCTACATGCAACCTATTTCATAAAAGAATTAAGGCCACTTCTTTTTGTTATTAAAGAGTTAAGTGACTGGCTTTCCTTCTTAAAATTCTTAAATATACTTACAAGAATTTAATTATGCCAGGCATGGTGGTGCACACCTTTAATCCCAGCACTGGGAAGGCAAAGGCAGGCGTTCAAGTTCGAGGCCAGCTTGATCTACATAGAGAGTTTCAGCCCAGCTGGGGCTACAGGGAGACCCTGTCTCAAAAAGATCAAACAATAAATAAATAGGAGCTGGAGAGATGGCTCAGTGGTTAAGAGCACTGACTGCTCTTGCACAGGACCAGGGTTCGATTCCCAGCACCCACATGCTGGCTACGAACCATCCTTAACTCCAGTTCCAGGGGAATCCGAAGCCTCTTCTGACCTCCGCAGTCATTTGCACGACACAGGTGCACTCACATACCTGCAGGCAATGTACTCATACACATGAAATTTATAAAGAATCTAATTATGAGCTATTAGTACAATTGTTATTAATGAGGAAAAAGGAAAAAAATAGAAGGTCATCTGAAGTGAATAATAGCAAGTGAAGTTTAAAATTAAATGAGTGAGTTTCCCATATAGATACATATTTATTATGATGATATATCTAATTTTGATTATGTAATATGAATGTGAATTAAGTCCTTATAAATATAAAAGGAGACAGATAATCAAATATATTGTAAATTTTTTCTGGCTGGAAAACTATTAAAATACAGATATGGCCGGACAGAACTCAGAAGGCAGAGGCAGGAGGATCTCTGTGAGTTCAAGACCAGCCTGGTCTACATAGTAAGTTCCAGGCCAGCTTGGAGCTACAGGGAGACCCGGTCTCAAAAAAGACCAGGAAAAAAAAAAACAAACAAAAAAAAAACCCAAAAGGATAATGAATATCTATTAGAAAAAAATTTTTTGAAAAGCCTTAAAATTGTACCTTTGAAGAAGATTATGACTGAATTCTAGTAAATACAAATTAGACTATAAGAAGGAAAGAATACTTTCACTGCAGGAAATGACAGGTTTACATTAGCATTTATCTATTACTAAAAATTAAGCACTAAACCAGGTGTGTGGTGGTACGGCCTTTAACCCCAGTACTCAGGAGGCAGAGGCAGGCAGATCTTTGAGTTTGAGGTCATCCTGGTCTACATAATGAGTTACAGGTCAGCCAGGATTACATAAACAAACAAACCCTATAAGGTAGTTACTATTAGATGGCTCAACGGTTAAGAGAGCTTGCTGCTCTTCCAGAGGATCCAAGTTCAGTTCCAGCACCCACACAGGTGGTTTATGCCTATAACTGCAGTTACAGGAGGATCCGACTCCTCTGGCCTCCACCAGCATCTGCACTCAGAGGCTTATACCCACAAAGAGACACACATACATAATTAAACATATTTTTTAATTAAGCACTGATTTTCTTTGGTAAGCATAATCAAGGACATACCCATCTAGTTTCCTTTCTATAGACTGATAAATTTCAGTGCTACTTTCCTTTTTCTATTAAAAAATAGCTTTCTAAATACATCTCACTACATACGGTATAATCAACAATGAATATTCACTCAGCACTTACTTTCCATAAGAATTGCCTATAATAATTTATAATCTTACTTTAGTCCACCAATCCTAGAAAATGATTACCATTACCCTCTTTTCACAGGTAAAGAAACAGAAGCTCAGCCAGGCATGGTGGCCCACACCTTTAATCCTAGCACTCCGGGAGGCAGAGGCAGGCAGATCTCTGTGAGTTCCCTGCCAGCCTGGTCTACACAGTGAGTTCCAAGCCAGCTGGGGCTACAGGGAGACCCTGTCTCAAAAAGACAAAAAAAAGGAAAAAAAAAAAAGAACGATGTGCTTGCTTAAGCAACTAGGGCAGGAGATTGTATGTGAATCCTGATTTGTCTGACTAAAAAGCCAAACTGCTACTTCATTTTACAACTCAAATTAAAATATAGCTAAGTCCATTATACTACATTATACTAATAATTTTTGTCCTTTGGGAAAACTTGTTGATTCTGAGTTCTTAACTGATCTCAATGCTATCCTTTAGAACAATAAATGCCATATTTTATTCTCTTTTATACCAAAGAAGATAAACTTTCAGTACTAATGAATACTTATACTTACATAGTCACAATGTTCACCAGGATTAAGCCACAAAAAGAAATAGAAGAAAACTATAAATAATAAGAAACAGATAAGAAACAGACATTGAGATGACAGACTCAAAGAAAGAAAAGACAAATTTAGAGATGAAATTATATATTTTTAAAAGTACATAGTAAAATTAATCCCCAAAGAACTCCTGTAGATAAAACAATTCCAATGTCTTACCTATATGTTATTAGTGGATGAAGAGGAATAAATTCAGCTGGCCCAAATTCAACAGAGCAACCAAATGTAATTAAAGTTAGCAATTCACCTAGGCAGGTCAGTAAAACCAGGGAGCCACGTTTTAACACACAAGCCAGAAACAGACTATCATTCGTCCAGCTGATGTCACCTACCCAGTATGACCTAGGAAGAGCCAGAGACATGTTTAAAAAGGACTCTCTATATTGTCTTTGACAATTACAGACTATTCCAAGCAATAGGGAAACACACACACAAGTAGGCAACTGTCACATAAATTTCATGAACTTTACTTCCTGGAAAAAAAAAAAGGCTTACTCAGGGATAACTACTTCAACAATACTCCATTAGAAATTTACTTAGATTTGTAACCAACTCAGAAATAAAAATACTTCCCAGAGTTGAGCTAATTAGTCACTCCATTTTAATCGGAATGAATAGAATCTTACTGGAGTCTATAACCAAGGCTGAAGGACAGATTTTGAGGCCATGCCTACCCGCTCTGGAAGTTGCTAAAAGCCCCACTCAGTAGCACACTGCCTCTTCCCAGAGCTGTCCCTGTTAATACTTAATTCCCAGGCAACGTTAATGTGTCACTAGAACAAAAGACCAGCTCCGTCCATTGTGAAAATGACAGACATCCTAAGTCTGTCAATGAGCTGAGGCCAGTATATTCTTGGAAAGGAACTGTTTTGGAGGGAAAGAAAATGGAAGAGAAAGGGTTAGATGACCTGAATAACCCAGGAAATTCAGAGAATGGCACAGAAAGTGTTCAGAAAAAAAGAAGTTAGGGGCTCAAGAAGAAATCTTTGTACTCTCTAATCTCATGTAAGTCTTACTGATAGCTCATCACCACTGATGGCAAATGTTAGAAGGCTATAAACACTAAGCCTCTCTGAGTGAATAATGCGCTCACCTCTCCAGGCTTTTTCATTCTAGCCTCTCCACCTAAGCCTAGCATTGCTTTACCTACTCATGATTCCATTCCTAAGAACAAATGAAATCAATGAAAAAGAAAAGAAATTATGTCTGTGTACTTTCTAACACTTTCCTTATATAAAGCAACTTTCAGAATTTATCACGTAAAAATGCTAAAGGTAAGACTGGAGAGATGGCTCAGCAGTTAGGAGCACTGGCTATTCTTGCAGAAGACTCAGGCTCATAACCCAGCACCCACAGCGTAGCTAATAACCATCCGTAACTCCAGTTCCAGGGGATCCGACACCCTCTTCTGTCCTCCAAGGGTACTGCACGACATGGGTGCACTTATATACATGCAGGCAAAACACTCAAACACATAAAACAAAAATAAATAAATTGAAAAATGCTGAAACTAAGTTGTATTCTTTATTAGATATTTATAGAATTATTAGAGCCTTAAGCTTCTTAAATTATTGGAAAGAAAATAAGAGCACTACTTAGAAATACATATGTTCTTACCTAGTGAGTGTAGCTGGAACCACAGGATTCTTATTGCTACATCCTTTAAGGTCACCACAGAGAGTAACAAAATTCAATGTGTTTATAAATAATACCTGAGTTGCCTAGGAGGAAAAAAACAAAGACCCCCAAAATCACTGATTTTACTATATGTATTACTTACAACTACAGAGGCCAGGAGATTTATTACTATACTAATAAATACCTAAATACTCTTTCTCAATTAGTCAGACAGTACTACAGTACTGACAGCCCTTCACACTTTTTTACTCTGTTCAGACCAGCCTTAAACTTGAAATCTTCCCTGCCCCCAGCCTTGGAAATAATTGGGATTATTCCACAAGCACCCCTGCTCTTCACTGTCCTTTCCTTCTTTTATTTTACCCTCTTCAACATTTTTTTTTCCTTTTATCTTCTTTTGTTTTGTTTGATAGGCTTTGCCACATAGCTCAGAGTCACCTCAAACTATGTAGCCCAGGCTGGCCTGGAACTTAAATCCTCTTGCCTCATCCTCTAGAGTGCTGGGATTACAGACATCTGCCAACAAGACAAGCTTCTTGTTTTTACTTTTCTTAAGGACTTTGGAAAATTATGGCAGATAATTCAAATAACTTTACTAACCCATAATGAACTGAAAACATCAATTTAAAGATTATAAAACAACAATTAAGGAGCCAGGCGTGGTGGTGCACGCCTGTAGTCCCAGCACTTGGGAGGGAGAGGCAGGTGGATTTCTGTGAGTACAAAGCCAGCCTGGTCTACATAGTGAGTTCCAGGACAACTGGGGCTACAGGGAGACCCTGCTTCAAAAAGACAAAAAACAAAAACAAAAACAGTAGTTAAGGGAGAAAAAACCTCTACCTTCCAGAAAAACAAATCCCAAAACTGGAATAAATTCTCTTTTATAGATTACCTTTCAAGACAAATGTTATTTACTGACCTTTGGGTCTTTCTGATTAAGAGTCATTGCCAGGGTAAGGCCATCTCTTGAGAAGGCAGAGATCAGAGCACCTCTCGACTTCACTGGATCACACTTAGGAGTTAGACTGCACAGAGGGCATTCTTGTTGTGCCCAGTTAACGTGGAACGGAAGTGACCTAAGAAAGCAACGAAATAACTGAAAATAGAAGGATAGTAACTTTTATTTACTTAATTATTTTTGATGTACTTATGCTTGTTTTAGAGGTAAGGTCTCACTGTATTGCCCAGATTGGCCTTCAACTCCTGGGCTCAAGGGACCCTCCTGCCAGTAGCAGAGAGTGTAGGCATGCATCACCATGCCAAGTCTGCAGAGCAATTTTAAACTAATATATAGTTCATTACAAAAAATTAAAGGATTTATCTGAAACCCTATAAATGCACATATACATACAGACCTCAGTGACTGTTCAGTAACTATCAATCTAGTTCAGTGTCAAAGTTTTCTAAGAATAGCTATGTTCCAGCAATAATCAAATCCAAATACACCTATTTCAACTAAATGTTTAAGCATTTTTACATAACAGCAAATAGTTTTTAAATATTTTACTATTTTCTTCTTTTATGTGGATGAGCGTATGTGCACCCATGTCATGTCCTCAGAGGTCAAGAGGACGTCATATCCCCAGACTGGAGTTACAGGTGGTTGTTAGCCAACATGTGGATGCTGGGAACCAAACCCAGATCTTCTGCAAGAGCGGTCAGTGCTCTTAACCACTGAGTCATCTCTCCATCTCCAACAGAAAATATTTTTACAGGAATCATAAAAGTAAGGAAGGAGAATAAGTTGGGACTACAGGGAGATGAATATGATCAAAGTACACTATGTAAATGTCATAATGAAATTGTTACTTTGTACAATTAAGAACATTAATAAAAATCTGACAAGTAGGGAAGCAGAACTTTTTAGGTTATGTAAATTTTCTACATTTCTTCTGAGTTATAATTATGTCTGTGTACATATATTTATCAAACTTCTTGGAAACTAAAGATGTTCATTTTACTTTATGTAAATAATAAAATACTGTTAAGATAAAAAATTCATTAAAAAATCACATCTTACTAAGTCTTACATATGCACTGTAAGTTTTTAATGTATTTTGTTCTATTTTATGGAGCTAAGAATAAAGAAATTTTTTTTTTTTTTGTATTTTTGAGACAGGGTCTCCCTGTAGCCCCAGCTGTCCTGGACTATGTAGACCAGGCTGGCCTGGAACTCACAGAGATCCACCTGCCTCTGCCTCCCAAGTGCTGGGATTAAAGGCATGTGCCACCATGCCTGGCAGAATAAAGAAAATTATTTTACTATAAAAATAAGAACAAAAAAGATCATTTGAGGTCAGGAGTGATAGAGAATCCCAATACTCAGGAGGCAGAGGCAGGCAGGTCTCTGTGAGTTTGAGACCAGACTGGTCTACATAGAGAATTCCAGGCCAGCCAAGGCTACATAGTGAGACCTTGTCTCAAAACAAAACAAAACAACAAAAACATTTGAACATTTCAAAGGTATAACAGTAAACACAAATATTTTTGCCCCTTTAAATTTCAAATGATTTATTTTATAATATCAAGACTGATAAAACCACAAACTGCTATTTGCATATTCTCCCTTCCGAGAAAAGAAGTAAAACAAAAACAAGAGAAACTTGCTAAATTAAAGATTTAAAACTCAAAGATGGGGAAAAGACCCATAAAACCTTAAAAACTGATCTCTGTGAGTTCAAGGCCAGCCTGATCTACATAGTGAGTTCTAGGCCAGCTGGAGCTACAGAAAGACCCTGTCTCAAAAAACAAAACAACAAAAAAACCCCACCTGAAATTAGCATCTAAAAATCTGAAGTACCTATGTGCCAAATAACAATAATTTTAACTAAAAAATAAAGAAAAAGAAATGTTAACCTCACCTTACAGCTGTAAATATCTTCTCATGCCACCGAATTGCTAGAAATGTTAACTTCAGGCATCCTCCAGAATAAAAAGCAAATGAACACAGGCAGCAGTCACCAAATAGCTGTAGATAAATTTAATATTCTTTAATATAAATTAATATGAAAATAAATCAAGGTATGAAATATATATACAAATACATTTGTCATTACATATAAAATAAATGAAAAATATTAGGATCCTGCTTATATTTTAAGTCTTAACAATAAGCTAAAGACTAAGTAACTTTCCTTCTCCAGAAGCAAGGCCTGAATGGAAATCAGGCTGTGGAGTTTGTGGGGCTCCTTTTGGGATAGGGAGGCTAGCAGGGCCTTGAGCATACTAAGCATGCACCTGGGACTAAGCTGTGCATGCTATGTTTTAGGCAGTTCATAACTCTTCTCAAGTCTAGTAAGAGTAATTTGTTCAGGAGTTCCTACAAGACAGCACGGCAACTACTATCAAACAATGTGATGATTTAAAAGTGACTTAAAGCAAATGAAAGTCCCAACACATTAATATTATTAAGGCTGGACAACATGGAAATGTTTATTTCCCTGATTTGATTATTATATAATATATACATATACGCCATCTCATAAAGATACATGAATACTGTCTCAAGTTTACTATGACCAGAAAGATTTCTATAAGGTTATTTTTACTCTTCTTTTATAGCTTTATATTATTTATATTAGAGTATCACCTCACTGGAAGGGAGCAATAAAATTTCAAAATGCAAGGTTTTTTTTGGACAGACTCTCACATAGCCCAGGACTGTCTGATTTCTGATCATCCTGTACCCTCCTCCAGAGTGCCGAGATCATAGGCATGCTCCACCAAGCCTGATGTAAAAATGCAATTTCTACCAAAAGTGGATTAAATAACAGATGTTAGTGCATACCTATGGACTACCAAGCAGCTATTTAAAATTTTTATTTTTAGTAAAGAGTCTATTATATTCTGGGGATTAAATGGCTTGCTTAACACCACCAGTTCTAGTTTATTAAAGTACAACACACACACACACACACACTTTTTCTCTATTTTATTTAGTTGCATGAGACAAGGTCTTGCTATGAGTCAAGGCTGGCCTCAAACCTGGAGCAATCTCCCTGCCTTGCCTCAAGTGCTGAGATTACAGGTATGCACCACTATGCTCAATACAAGTCGTATTCTAAACTAGGGGGGAACATTTTTTTTAAATCATTTTTAAAAAAAGATCCAAGAAACAGAAAACTATCTTTTCCACAAAGTAACTTCACAATCCTCACAACTACTGACAAACAGGAGTGCCTTTACACCCCTGATAAAACAGCTTCTAAGACAGGGTCAGGAATCTCTACTCCACTCTGTCTCATTTGAGTTTTACCTCATTTTTTATAAAAACAGCATTCACTGTAGCTTCTTTATCTTTAGTGGACGGCAAAAAATCAGCTTCTTCAGGTATGATCTGGGACCACTGACCCACCAACGAGAGGCTTTTCGAACAGAAGATATTCCTCAATTCCGAACATTCCCACAGAAATATGCAGCCAGACGTGATAAGCAGAACTCTTTTCCCATTTTCAGCAACATACAAGTACAGTCTCAAAGAGCTTGCTAGTTGGAACAAAACAAAACAAAACAAAACATTAACTTCCAAATTGTAAATTTTCAAAAGCACATTTTTAATTTTTAAAATATTTTAATTTATATTTTCTGAGTTATTAATTTTTATTTTATGTGTCTGACTATTACGCCTGCTGTACAAATATGCAGCATGTGTGTGCCTGGGGTGTAGAAGCCAAAAGGTGTTGGATTTCTTGGAACTGGAGTTACAGATCGTTGTGAGCTGCCATGTAGGTGCTGGGAACCAAACCCAGGTCCTCTGTAAGAGTTACAAGTGCTCTTAACTGCTGAGCCATCTCTCCAGCCCCTCTTTTCCATTCATTCATTCATTCATTCATTCATTCATTCATTGGATGGGTATCATTTTGTAACCTAAGCTGACTTGGAACTTTGTATATAGTCCAGGCTGGCCTCAAATTCACTGTGATCCTCCTGCCTCACCCTCCCAAATGCTTCCCTGGCAAATTTAGCTGTCCTTGCAATAAGAAACTTAAACTGTCTTACCACTCCAGAAGTCAAAACTAAAGCATCAATAATAAAAGTACAAACCAACAATACCTTTATCAAGTTTGTTTTCTTTTTTTTAAGTACTGGAAATTAAACTTAGTGCCTTGTGCATGCTAGGCCAGGACCCTCACACTGACGTACAGTCCCAGCCTTCTTTTTACTCTTTCGTTTGAGACAGGGTCTCACCAACTTGTTCACGCAGGCCTTCAGCTCACTCTGCAATCCAGGCAAGACTTGGCCTTGTGATACTCCTGCTTTAGTCTCCTGAGCTGTTAGGATTATATGCCCACACCACTAAACCTGACTTATTACGTGACATTAGGAAACTAGCCATAGAAGTAGCAGGTATGCCAGATTTTTTTCCCTCAAGTTGAATCTAGGCATCACAGATTACTACCACTCCAAATTTCATAGTATATACAATACATAGTATATACAATACACAGAAATGAGTGTGCGTGTGTGTATGTATATATATATATAGAGAGACAGACAGACAGACAGACAGACAGAGAGACAGAGACAGATATATTTCCAAAATAGTAATTGGAAATATTTCATATTCTTTTTCCAGTCAAACCAATTTAAACAAACAAACAAACAACAACAACAAAAAACCCTACCTACAGTAGCCTTAATCATTTCTTTAGGCTTTTCAGTTACTTGTATAGTTTTCAAACAGTCTTGATCTTTGTTCCAAAGGAAAATCTCCCCTGTAGTGAGGACTCCAGACAGCCAAGCATCTGTTTAAAAATGAAATGCAATTTTTAGCCTGGTATTTCTCTTACTAGCACCTCATTTTTTCCTTATAAACCACAGTAAGCTAGCCTTCTGAAAATACTGGTATTACTTAACCATTGCAGGATGTTGTCAGGAAAAAAGCATCCTTCAGCAAAGGCTGCAGACTAGGAATCTTCTTCTTTGTTCTTCCTGATAGCAAATTAATTTCATTTATGAATTTATCATCCAAAAGAAAAACAGCTTCATTTTCCTAAAAGGAAAAAAAACACAAAAAGGACTTAGGCGAGTCTCAGAACTTAATTCAATTTTTATCTACATAAATTATTCCAAAAAAGAAAATAAAACAACATATAAGAACAACTATAATTTAGGTGTGAAGGCACACCCCTTTAATCCGAGTAATTTAGGTATGGAGTCAGACAGGTGGATCTCTGTGAGTTCAAGGCCAGCTTCATTCATCTACATAGTAAGTTCCAGGCAGCCAAGGCTATACAGTGAGACCCTATATAAAAAAGGAAGGGAGGAGGGGAGGGAGACAGAGAGGGACAATTAAATTATAATTCACAACACAAATTTATGTAGACTAACCTGTCCTTGAACTCACAAAGATCTGCAAGTCTGTGCCTCCCAAGTGCTAGGATGAAAAGCATGTACCTCCACACCCAGGTATACCACAAATCTAAAGCAAACATTAAGGTTGATACCCTATAATAACCTAAAATTTTGATTCTATTTTAAAATAACCCCTGCTGGGCGTGGTGGCTCACACCTTTAATCCCAGCACTCAGGAGGCAGAAGCAGGCAGATCTCTGTGACTTCAAAGACAGCCTGGTCTACATAGTGAGTTCCAGGACAGTTGGAGCTACAGGGAGACCCTGTCTCAAAAAGACCAAAAAAAAAAAAAAAGTCTGAACTAGGGGTATATCTCAACAGAGTGCTTGTCTAGCATATAAGAGATCCTAACTTCTATATCCAGTACTGTGAAAATACATCAAATCATAAAATACCTCATTAGAATTATTGGGTTAGGTGGTCTAACAATTACATTTAAATTTCTTTCAAGATTAACATTATAGGAGCATTTGCCAATTCAACAGTCAAAACCAGATTCACTATTATTTAATGTGAAAATTTGTATGGGCAAGTTTTTTTTTTTTTTTTTTTTTTGAGACAGGGTTTCCCTGTAGCCCCAGCTGTCCTGGAACTCACTATGTAGACCAGGCTGGCCTTGAACTCAGAGATCCGCCTGCCTCTGCCTCCCAAGTGCTGGGATTAAAGGCATGCGCCACCACACCCAGCATGTATAGGCAAATTTTTATATAGTTTACTTAAATTAAATAAATTTGGCTTTGGAAATTCATGAACTCTTTACTCTGATTTTTTTTGTCCAAAAAAGCAGGCTATTTCAAATGAAGTCTGAGGGGGCCGCAGCAGCAATACCTGAGAACCTATTAGAAACGCAAACTACCCAGTCCACCCCAGACCTGCTGAGTTGGAAATGCTGTGGGGCCCAGTAATCTATTTTTATTATTTTTTTAGTCAGTGCACAAAATGTGGGTTTCACCAGGCTGGAGAGATGGCTCCATGGTTAAGCACACCTGCTGCTCTTCCAGAGGACCTGAGTTTGGTTCCTAGAACACACATGGCAGAAAACAACTGTCCATAATTCCAGTTCCAAGGGATCCAACACTCTCTTCTTGCCTCCTCAGGCAATGCATGACCCAGAGCACTTAAATACATGCAGGCATGGGGCTAGAGAGATGGCTCAGTGGATAAGAACACTGACTGTTCTTGCAGAAGACCCAGGTTCAGATCCCAACACCCACACGGCAGCTAACAACTGTCTATAACTCCAGTTCCAGGGGATCTTGACAGTCTTCTATCCTCCACAGGCATTGCATGACATGGGTGCACTTACCTACATGCAGGCAATACATGCGTACACATAAAATAAAAATAATAAATAAAATATTTTTTAAAAATACATGCAGGCAAACCACTTATACACATAAAATAAAATAAGTACAGTTTAAAATAAGAGTTTCATTATATTTTTAAAGTATTTATCTTTGTATTTTGCTCATATTTGCCCATTAACCTCCCTTGTCCCTTCCTACCTCCAAGATGTTCTCTTCTGCTTTCATGTCATATACATATAGAGTCTAGATTCCACATGGAAGAGGATGTGCCATATTTGTCTCCTCCTATCCCATTAGCCTCTCTTGTCTTGCTCACCTCCCTTTGAACCCCTTCCTCCTCCCATGTGGTCCCATTTCTACCTTCGTGTGTGTGTGTGTGTGTGTGTGTGTGTGTGTGTGTGTTTGTGTGTTTAGGTGTGTAATGTCTTTTTTTTTTTTTTTTTTTTTTGGTCTTTTTTGAGACAAGGTCTCCCTATAGCCCCAGCTATCCTGGAACTCATTATGTAGACCAGGCTAAATAAAATTCACCTGTCCAGATGATTCTGATGAGTATAAAAGTTTGACAACTCCTGTTCTAGGAAAGTTAATGGTATCATTTCTCACAAAAATGTGATATTTTATTTCAATAATCATAAATTCGGGGACTGTGTAGGTTAGCCCACTCTCTAAGGTGAGGACTCTGCCACATTCCTGGATCATTATTATCACAAGATGGCCCACCTCTTCTGTCCTAGCTCTGGGGATCCTCAATCCCACACTCATGAAAGACACACTCTTGTTTGGTAAGGCAAGTTCAGGAGATTCAACACTCCCTAATGATATATGCCCTCTCAATCATCTTAAACATGATAGAAAGAAAAAGGTTCTTAAAGTAAAAGCTTTCTTCCACAAGATGACCCAGTTTTATTAAAAAGCTAACTTATACATTATAATAACAACAGAACACATGAAACCTTTTTCAAGGGACAGGTGATCCTTCTAAGGATAATGTTTTATTTTTTTAAGGACACAGAACATTCCTACATCTTCTCCAGAAAATACTCAATACATACAAAGCCAGTATTATAGGAATAAAGAAAAACTCACCTGCCCCAACCAGGAAACTCTTGGCCAGGGTTTTTTCTGCTTGATACTTGTTGATGTCAAAACTTCTAATCTAATTTCCATTCTTGTTGAGATACCAAAGACCAATTAAGCAAAACCAGTCACAAAGGTGCTGTAAATAATAGTAAGAAATAGAACATAATATTTACCGAGAACATTGCTTTCCTTACCACTGACAAAGTCTCTCATACAAACAACCTAAGCAAGGGAAGAAGGATTTGGAATGGTTCCGTTTCAGAGGGCCCAGTCCACCCTGGACCACAAGCTTATGGGTTGTATGGCATGGCCTCAGGAGCATGGGGCAGAAGAGATTCTTCACCTCAAAGGAGAAAGGAAGCAAAGGGAGAGGAAAGGACAGTGCACCAGATTATAAACTTCAAAGGTACTCCCCCAGTGACCTATATTCTCTGACTAGACCCAACCTCCTGAAGTTTCCAGAACCTCCCCAAATGGCTTCATCACCTGAGGACAAAGTATTCAACAAAATGAGCCTGTAGGGATATTTCAAATTTAAATGATAATAATGATCATCTGAGTTTAGAATTTTCAAAAATTTTTGTTAATTACTTTTTCAGTAGTTCATGTTAATTCCCTTTTTAAGGTAAAATATCATATTCAGTATCCCAACTATATCTCATAGTAAGGGAAAAAGTTTTTGCTTTCTTAACAAGTTACATCTCGGACAATGAAGATAAACATAAACTAGGAAAGATATAATCAGGTTTCTACATGATTTGCATTTCTCAATGCAGCAGACTATAATTCTGTAAATATAGTCAAATCTATCTCATTTGCTCCTACTGTGACTTTGATACTGCTCTGCCTCTTCCCTTGACATTGGGGCAGATTTTGTGACTATTTTGACCAAGAGTATGATGGAAGCGATACTATGACTTTTCCAAGGCTAAATCACAAAAGGTAATATAGTTTTTACCTTGTTCTCTGGAGTAATTATTCAAGAAGCCCCTATCTCCAAGTAACGAAACTGCCATCAACCCAACCAGCTATGAGCAAATTCAAACTAGCTCATCTAAAAAGAAAGCCCTACCAGGCGTGGTGGCGCACACCTGTAGTCCCAGCACTTGGGAGGCAGAGGCAGGTGGATCTCTGTGAGTTCAAGGCCAGCCTGGTCTACATAGTGAGTTCCAAGACAGCTGGGGCTACAGGGAGACCCTGTCTCA